TTTCAGTACTAATCATGAGTTAAGATTATTGGCTTCAAATAAAACTTAAGTCTTCCCCATACAGGTTTGAGTGCGTCAACGTGGAAACCAGAAGAGGATAACTTGACACTGAAAACTTTATTGAAAGCAGAAAAACGTTTTGGCTGTTGGAAGTAACCTCTACTTGATTCTCTCTTTCCATGTGTGAACTAACGTTCATAACTTAATTTTCATATTTCCAGATTTACACAAAACTCCAGATTCATTAAATGCCATCTTTTAAATTTTTTTAGCTTTCTAAAAGTTGGAAATCTAAAAATATCCTGTAGGATGTGAAGAAATGTAGAATAGGAGAACATCAAGGAGGTTTGTGGGTCATAGCACAGCATACAGAGTAAAAGCAAAACCCTTTCCCCAGGTATTCTCACATGAAAGACTGTCTGCTTTCAGTGTTATGTGATCTCACTATTGCATATCTCACAGCTGGCAGTTTAGATCAAATCTCCCTCCCCAAAAGGAGTGTTCTGAGCCCTAGAACCAGTCTGAAGTGAGTAGTACTCAATATTCTTTCAGTGTGTATCATGCCAAAATAAAGTCATTGCAAATCAATGAAGGCAATTCAACATGACTGAGGTGATGTGAAAGGCCATTTACACAGAGAAGAGACCATACAATTGTTTTCAGTACAAACCCAATGTATTTCCATATAACCTTGTGATTATATAACAGTCCCAAAAAACAGTGGAGTAAACAACTCGGACAAAAAATTACAGAAAGGAAAAATTCTGGCGCCTCTTATCGCATTTATTGTGTACGAGGAACATTTCTTCCCCCTTCTCCACCCAATCCCCCACCACCCCTCCCAAATGTAACCAATCCAAGAAAACTACAACCTCCTGCCTTGCTTTTCACATACTAGGATGAACATGCATGCAAAGATTCAAATGATACTTAAATTGCAAATATACACAATGTAGTCTTATTTTAAAAAAGAATCCCATCCTTTAGAAAACATTATGCCAGTGTAAAAGTTGGTGGTTAAGATCTAAAAAAAAAGCAAGCTCCACATCTGAACCCTTTTGGTTATATTCTCTTCACCGCATCGTCGATTTCAGAGATCTGTTCCTTAAGCTGGTTCCACTGCTCTGGGTTCAAAGCAATTCCTGAAAAGACAATTTAAAAAAAAAAAGAACAGAGCTAAGAAAAGTACATCTGCTGCGTTTTAAATACCGATTTCGACAGAAAATGTGGCTCTTTATTAAGCCATCTCCTTTGAAATTTAAATTAGTTTAAAAAGCCAAGGGACACAAAGAAAAAATAAACTAACTGGATAATGAAAAGTTTCAGAATAGCATCTTTCACTCTATAAGCAAATCAAAATAATTACACAGGCAGTGGAAGAATTATTTGACATGAATTTATATTAACAGACTCTTGAGGGGCTTCAATAACTACGTGTTTAAGGGAAAGATTAAGAGAATAGAAGGAGATCAAAGCAATAAAAACTTTCTTCTGCCTGACATCTTCTTATGGTGTGAAAGCATTTATATAATATTGTTTTCAGAAACCCCTAAACAGAGAGTGACAAGAAAAACAAACGGTAAATAAAGAATGTAATAATAAATTCAATTCCACAGCCATTCGTGGCTACTAGGAACTGCTGGAATACCATAAAATTCCATGGTCATACATTACCTTTTTTTCCAGGCTTCATTTCACCTTCCTGGTCCATCCAGTACTCCCGGATGTCAATCAGGACCTTGCCTTTGAAGTCTCGGACACTGACGTACCTCATCTTCCCAATCTGTGAAGAAAACCGCACAAGGAGTACAAAGAGTGTTTGAACGACCCAGATCTAAGTGTGCTTTAAAAGTCACTGTGATACAGTGTGTCCACATCATAGTAAAGTCTCACCAGTTATAGATCACTTTTATAAAACACATTATGAATAGCGTACAAGAATGTTCAGCTACTGCACTGGCTCCACTACAATTGCGATTCATTTGCAACAGTTGGGTGCATCAGCTTCTGTGCGGGCTATAAAAAACAAAATACTGCACCATTCATTGGTTTTACAATATTACAACACAAAAATGTGTCATATCAAGTGTAATTATTGTAAAGAGAAGCAGTTCCACCAGCACAACTCTGCAAAATGTCATCTCTTATACTATAACAGATGACACATGACAAACTTAAAAAATATGACTCGCCAAGATCAACCCTTAAAAACCTGTGCAGCTGTTGACAGAATTTACACTTATTTGAAGTTAACTGTTAAAGCTGAGATGGAACTATTCAATAAACATTGATATGTGGACTTATCATAATCTACAAAATTGTTAATCACAGTGGTGTTTACTAGTATATCAGACATGTCATTCTTAGTTTCTCAAAGAAATGAACATATCCAATGTGACTTGCAAAATTGGACAAAAGGCTGGATGAATAGAAAGGGGAACTGCAGTCCTTATTTCTCAGACCAGCTATTGAATCTCGGTAACAAAATAAATTAATTGACGTTAGAGAAAAAAATTACAACTTCTGAATTAAGCACAAAATCGTTAACTTTGTGAAAGTACTGTAAGTCGCCATGTTGTCGCAAGCTGTCATTCAAGGTCCCACGTATTCGGCACTTCCTCCTCGCTAGTTTCCGTAGTGATTAATGTAATGTGATGCATGAGCCAATAAATACAGCAAATATTTCACCACAGAAATGTTCAACCATAACCAGCCAGCAGCAATATCACTCTGCAACTCACAACCGGCAACCCACTGAAGCTAAGCAGGTGTGAGCCTGGTCAGTACCTGGATGGGAGACCTCCTGGGAAAAACTAAGGTTTCTGCTGGTATAGATATTAGTGGGGCCAGTAGGGGACACTCACCCTGCGGTCCATGTGGGTCCTAATGCCCCATTATAGTAACGGGGACACAGGTTGTTTCTTGAAAAGAGTACCGGTGTAACCCTGGCATCCTGGTCAAATTTCCCATTGGCCCTTACCAATCATGGCCTCCTAATTAGTCCCCATCCATGAACTGACTTCATTACTCTGCTCTCCTCCCCACTAATAGCTGATGTGTGGTGAGCGTTCTGGCGCACTATGGCTGCCGTCGCATCATCCAGGTGGATGTTGCACATTGGTGGTGGTGGAGGGGAGTCCCCATTACCCGTAAAGAGCTTTAAGTGTAGTGTCCAGAAAAGCGCTATATAAGTAAGCAATATATAAGCAATTATTATTATTATGCAGAGTTAACATGATGGTAGTATTTGTTGGCAAAACTGTGTTGAAATCAAAAGCATAAGCAGAATATTTCTATTGATTTGAAAGAGACATTCACAAGCTTGCCTGTTTTTAACGTCATAAGGCCACACATGTTCCCGTAAGTTTTGTTGCCTCATTCTGAATCGCAGTATGTGGCACTGCCTGGAAATTTCTTCTATTTTGTGATGTAAATTGGGGATTTTACAAGTTACTCTGTACCTCTTTCCTTTATCATGATTTAAAATGCACCCATCAAAGCTGATTATTTCTAACCCCAACATATGAAAAAATGTTATTGCCTTGAACCAACAACATGGCCATGAGGCTGCAGATATTTTTATCAAAAAAGAAAGCTATGAGAAATTATGTCCTCACACAGGGCTCAATCTGCTATACATGACTGATGCTTAAGATTAAATTTCACTCCATCTGGTGCCTCATTTGACCAAATTAAATCAACACAGGATTGCTTGATGTCAATAGGTAACACTTGAAACCTGTTGGTATCAAACATTTTAAAAAAGAAAGCTGGAAATTACAAAATTGAAAACATTTTGAAGGAACAGTGGCGAGTAACCTACTGTTAATGCTCAGCCCCGCATGTGAGAACTGGGGGAAACCCAGGACTTTGGTTGTATCAGGTCAGCTCCTTATATTAGCAGTAAGGCTTGTATCAAGAAGGTTTAGCAAATAAAAAAAAAACCTAGAGAAACATTGGTTCAGACCGACATACACACCAACACTTTGTGGAAATGAAGAACGGTATAAAAAAGGACAAAATGGATGACAGGAGAAACACAAAGCACAGAAATGTAGGTCACATCCTAAAAATGGATCAAAGGTTGCTCACAGCTGCTGCAACAACACACCATGTCAATGAATGCTTTCCTGTTTGAAGGAATTGCGGTCGTCTAAGGATTAAGAGAAAGGCAGCTAAAGGCTGCTTTGCATTAAAAGGTGGATCTGAGCAACCTTTCATTCATTAAATACAACAAGGTTTAGAGCATCATTTGAATGGGATATTGCTGTGCTCTACCACCTTGTACACCATTGCTTATTGGAACACAAAACAGGAGAATGTGCAAGATCTGTCCCAGTCCTACCTGAAACATGTTTTCATCCTTATCACTTCCACTCCTGGATGAAGCCCCAGCTCTTGAGCTCTCACCACTCTTCTGTTTCTTTGCTGGCTTCTCAGGGGTTGCTGGCTTCTTCCTCTTTGCCTTCCAAAAGAGTTCACCATCACAGTCAGACACCACTATCGTTTACCACAAGACTAGCAAGTCAGCTGTCCAAACGTCAAGGGAGGACTCCGTAGATTAAAAAAAAACTCTGCAACCCTGATAGTCCTTGATAAAAACGCTTGTATAGTATCTATCTCTTTAACACAAATTCACAAACAGGAGCACCCTCTCAGAAAACAAATGCCTATAAGTTCTGTGATATTAAATCACAAGCTGCTGAAAACAACCTTCCTAACAAACAGAAGCAGTTTTGTGAAGCTGCAAAGCACTCAAAACGTACCTTCTTCTCTACTTCACTGTCTGAATCACTTCCAGAAGAAGTAGAAACAACTTCCTTGGATTTTGGCATTCTGTAAAAAAAAAGATAATTTAATCTTGCAGTTGAGACAAAATGATCAGTGTTGAAGAAATATAAAAAAAACAGATATCATCTAAGAAAAGACCTGCTTCTTTTTAGAGAAGAACATGGACACAGTCACATTTGTTTCCCAAAATCTCATGACAGAACACATTGGGCTGAAACAAATGACCACATTATGATTCAAACACAAAAATGGAAGACAATTTGGACCTCTTTATTCCCTTTCATTATTGTGGTGGCTTAAAATATCATTGGAAGCTTCAGAAATAAAATAAAAAAGTCATCTTTCCTATTCTTCAGAACACATCACTTCATGGTGGTAAATTGTGATGACATATTCTGCTTCCTTTTGAAGGATCTGGGTCAGCGTAGGAAGTGATAGCTCATTAAGTCAGAAAACAGTAAAGACAAACATGCTGCAGGCACCTCTTTCAATACTGAGTGATGGTGGAAAGAAGTGAAATGGGATTTTTCAATTTTTGAGCCATCATTGGAAAAAAAAAACAGTTTGATGTAAATACATCCAAGGACTGCAAATCTGGGCATTTCAAACTTGTGAAAATATAACTGACTAGTAGAATTAGGAGATCCACTGACACAAATTTGCAGGCTAAATAGATTTAGTGAGATGTACAATTTACGTGAATTTACTACAATATATTCAAAATGTAAGTTTTGCACAATCAAAGGCCAGAAACGTTTTCTTCACAATAGGTTAATCAGTCGACTTTATTACCACAGCATGAATCCCAGGTTATAAGTATAAGTAAGAAATTATTGTAATGCAAGATTAATAACCCAACTACACCAAAAAACAAACAAAAAATACAAACTTAAGTAGAGATTTTAGAATGACTTTATCGCATAATTTCCAGAAATTAGTTTACCTCATTCACCTTAACTGTATTAATGCTGTTCAATTGCAAACTCACAGTGATACATACAATCCTCGGATTACTGAATTCCAAATGCAATTTTGGCTGCATTTTATAGCAACCCAATTTTAGGATTATTTTAGAAATTTTCGTAAATGTGAAACAGTATCTGCTCCGAGTTTTACATGAAAACAAAAACAATTCACAAAAACAGGCCGAGAAAAAGCCTTTGTATTAGTGTTTAATTCTCTCAGCACACACGCTACTCTCAAGTATTTTTCATTTACCGATTAGCAGTTTCACTCTCTTTCCGATTTTCGTGAAGTTTAAATAAGATGTCTTTGCAGAAATTCTGGTCCGCTATAAAACGACATCAGCTTTGTGACCAAAGGCCAAGCATCACTGGGTCTACACTGCTGGGCACCGAGAAACCTGCTCCGACAAGGGTAGATCAGAATATGCAGCGCATCTTACTAGGCCTGTATTTTTTTTTTTTACATCGGAAGGGTTATAACAATCGCTGCAACACCTTTGTCATGTTAACAAAGGGAAAATCGATTGCATATTTTTTAGCTCTTTCTGGCAGTTTAGGATGACAGAATGCAGAAGAAGACTTACTTGTACCGACAACAGTATTGCTGCAAGCTTGTGTCGTGTTCTGATTCACTGGCGCGGGAAGTCGCTGGAGGTTCGCAGTAGCTAACCCACTTTAGCGCTCGCCTGCTATTGGGCTTTTGCAATCATATGATTATCACTGACTTGTGGGAAATGAAGTTCTTAATACTAGCGTGAGCAGCGCCGCGATATCACATGTAGGGGGGCTAAAATGTTTGATACCACTTGTTCAAAGCATTTTAATAAAAAATATATTGTAAAGCATAAATTTAAACTAAAATATTAATTACTGCTTTTGTCGATTACCTATGTTAAACTTCTGTTTAAGTTTTGTAAGTTATTAATCAGTAGAAAACAAATCTATACATACTTTACAGTACACGTGTTTGCGTGTGCGTTAAGACAATCATACAGTACTTTTGACAATTTCAAAAATAGCACTTTGCATTTAGAGTGACAAAATGTAATTACACATAAAATATAAAAATAAACACTCTAGAACGTTGCACGAAGGTATCTATTACTTAAGACATTAAATTATACGCAGGAAAATGAATCGGTACTCATTCTGTTCAGCACATGGAAGATTGGACAGCTCCGAAGGACGGGACTACACTGTTTTCAGTTTTCAGACTTTTTTACATTTTGATTCCGAAGGTTTTGAGTACTCTTATTTACTGCTCTAACCATTTGTCTTATATAAGAGAAAAAATAACTAATTTGCACCAGCAAATTTTAAGCACAAAATAACTATATGTAGGAGGATATTTTGATTTGTGAAATAATTGTTAGATGATACTTGTATACTGGACTACATTTACTGATAGAATACATTAAGAAAAGTTAATTCAAATCAGAATATTCCAGGAAATTCCTTTGGGTTATATGGTTAGGGTCTCTCCAAAATAAATTCCAACAATTTTCCTTTTGCAAAGCAGCAGAACACAACCAGATCAGTTCAGTACCACATATTTAAAAACTAAGACAAAAATAATAAATACAAATCAAGTATAAGCCAAACAATATAAAATATCAGTTTGGAGACTGAGAAAAAAAATCATCCACATTCAGTAACTGAGACAAGAACAAAAAAAAAAGAAGCAAAGATGTAATCCCCTGGCATCCATTCAAGAAACAGAAGAAACACGTGACAGCTGTCTCTTTGTCCCTGGCCTCCTTCCTTTATCCTGTAAGACAATCTCCTGCTAGGCAGTATTATCTGGCATGAGCTTTAGAGCTCTTTGTCTCTTTTGTTGGAAGTGTCTTCTACCCTTTTCTCTGTAGCATCCATCCATTTTCAGACAGCTGCTTATTCCTAGCAAGAGCCACAGTGATCTGCAACTCATCTGAAAGGCATAGAATACAAGTCATCTGGGAACACTAGAACAATTTAAAAGCACCAACTAGCCTGAGGAACACATCTTTGGAAGGCTGTAGGAAATGGGGGCACCGGGTGAAAACCCACACAAGCTCAGGAAGGCCATGCAAACAAGCAGAAGGTACCCCAGTCTGAGATCAAACATGGGGCCCAGGAACTGTGTAGAAGCAGCACTAACCTCCATTCCATCCAATTCTGTTGCACCAATCTTAGTACAGTCATTTCAGTAACAGACTTGTAATCTATTTGCTTTCTATACTCTCCCTTAAAATGTTGAAAATGCAGCAAATGAGAAGCGGGCCCAGTAAAATTTGTTGACTTTTTGATTCCTCTCTATATACATACCTACAGTACAATGTTACAAGCACATATAGAGTATATATATTTTCTCAGAAGTACTTAACAAAACTTGTGAATTGCAATAATTTGGTCACTTATAAGATATTGTTCTGAAAATTACAAACATCCATTTCTTTACAGAAAGTATCACCTTTGACAGTAGTGCTAAATAGTTCCTTCCAGACTCAACCAAACTTTAGTGTAAAAAAGTGTCTCCCATTCACACTTTAAAATGCATGTTCCTGTAGTGCTCACTGTGTTACATTGACTTTCTTATTATCTTTTGGGACTATTAAAGTGGCACAGGGCCATAGCCCTGGGATCCCGGGTTCAATTCCTGGTGCACTAACTGCAGGGAGTTTCTACATTCTTCCTTTGTTCATGTTGTTTTTTTTGCTGGGTGCTCTGGTTTCCTCCTACAGTCCAAAGACAAGCTGGTAGGTTAATTAGCTTCTGGGACAATTGACCCTGGTGGGAGTGTGTGTGTTTTGCCCTGGGATGGGCTGGCACACTGTTTGGGGTGTATCCTGCCTTATCCCTGTTGCTTGTGACCTGTAATTGGATAAAGTGATAAATGTCCATTTATAGTTTCAGTATACAAAGTTGATGTAGTCTGTCAGAGTAGAATATTCCTTTAAGCCAGGTAATGTATCTGCTCTGTTCTCTGCAGATATACTGTATACCTTTCCGTACATGAAGCTGATCATTAAGCAGTGGAAGCTGTGACTTAACCAGACACTGTCTAGATCAGGATGTTTGTCCAAACTGAGCAGTCTGGCAAGGAGGAAACTGGTTAGCCATGCCACTGTAAAGCTAACGTCAGCTTTGAAAAGAAAACCACAGAGTTTCATGGCTAAGAAGGGAGAAAATGTCCATAGAGCAAAGGCAGCTTTCATGGCAGAGGGGCAAGAAGGAAGCCATTACTGAATAAACATCTCCAATCCTGCAGAGAGTCTACAACACAGCATTTAAGAGATACTACAAACATGTGGCGAAATCAGCATTGTGATCAGACAAGACAAAACCAGAACATTTTGCAAAATGTTGTAAATAGTGGAAACAGCTCAGCACATCCCCCAGTCAACATCATAATTTTCAAGCACAGTGATAGCAGCTTTATATTATAGGCTTCTCATTAGCAGAGACTTGAGAAATTTAACAAGATTGAGGGAAAAACGGGGTAGAACAAAGTCCAGGCAAATCTTACCTGTAAACCTGCTTCATATTTCATCAGGAGAATGACACAATGCACAAGGCCAAAGCTACAGTAGAGTGGCATAAGAATAAAAAAATTGAATGTCCTTGAGTGGCCTAGTCACAATACTGACATGAATCCTATTGAGAATCTGTGGAAAGACTTGAAAAATGCTGTCCATAAACAATTCTGAAGCAAATTGAGAGAACCAATTTGTCAAAAAGAATGAGCATAAATTGCACCATGCCAGTGTGGAAATTGTTAAAGATTTACCCCCAGAAGACTTGTAACTACTGCCAAAGGGGCTTCCACCAGATATTGGGTCCAAGGGTCTGAATACTTATACAATCCACATATTGCAGCTTTATCACCTTAGTTTTGAGCTGATATTTACTGTACTGTTACCCAGAGAAAATTTCAGTTTGATCATTTAGGTTTTGAAAAATTATATTAGGTTTTAAAAAATGAGTGAGCATCATTTTGTAGTTGAACAAATGGGACAGCATGTGAAGAGTCTGAATACTTTTCAAGGCACTGTCAGTGTTTTGAAGCTCACTATTTCCCATATTTCAGTTATACCTTAAAAACATTAGCACTTATATTTAACACTTTATACATGCCTACTTTAAATTTCACTTGCCAAGTGTTTTCCTATTGCTATGTCTATTGTTTCACTTTCAGTTGCTGACATCCATGATGGGTATCCAAAAATGTGTCAGGAAAATTAAAATATATTGTGATAACCAATTCTCTCTTTGCGTTCTTCATGTAAGTGTTTGACACTGCATTATAATTGGTATCTAAATGTTATGGTCTGTAACATACAGTATACAGCACCCTTTGAATATTTTTGATTCACTTTGGTTTACTTCCTGTGCTTGAATGTTTTTTTAATGTACTGTGTGTGCAAGATTACCACAGGCAAAAGGATTACATTATTGCTGGATTTTAGTTTGAAAATTAAATAAACAATTTGTTGATAAAAAAAATTAAACTGGGGGGCTTTTGTGACAATAGACGGGCCACCAGAGGCCACTGGTGAGACAATTCAAAGATTTTCAGTCCATCCAGATTGTAATAGAATGATGATTAATGGTTTGGAGAGTCTGAATGTTCACCTTGTAGGTGTATGTATATCAAGTGTGTTTACAGTATACTTCACAGTAGACCAGGTAGTAAATGGGTGGGTATTTTAGTAGTTGCCTTTGGGGTTTACAGTAGAACTGTCTGCAAATAGCCAGAGCTCAAAGCAGAACTATTTTTTCTGTTTTCTTCTGGTTGTCTGTGTTACAAACCCAACCTAATGAAGCCACTACCCTTCTTGGACTTTTTGAAGTTACCATCTGTGTGAATAATGTACAGTACAAAGGTCCTACACCTATAGTTAGTGTTACCCCACCCTTTCTACCATCTTTCAGATTTTTCTTACATTTTGTACCCCCACAGGATGTATCCGTTGCTGCCCATTCCTGTTAGACATGTTTTACTGATTCCAATTATATTGTAATTGTCTGTTAAGGCAGACAGTTCTTGAAAGTTCTTGTGTTTTGTTTATAATGCTCCCAGCACCTGAAGTAGGTTCTGTATGAACACACAGTCTACTTTTGACTTTTGTCCCTTTATGTTTCCCTTGCAGATTTTCTTTGGATTCTTCCCCTTTTACTCAAATCTTAAATGCTTCTTTTCCAAACCAACATTATGGTCAACATCAAGTTAAATAATTTTGAAACTTGCAGGATTGTAAACTCAAAAGGCAAGTTAAAAAAGTACAGAAATAATGTACAAAACTGGTAGTGCAGGTGATGGTAGAGACTTTGAACCTGCTCAATGAGGCACTGCAGGATAACAGCACAATGGATCACTCTCTCAGACAGGATTTCCCCTCTTAGATCACAAAAATAGAAATCCAACTAAAAATGAAGGAGGGAGAAAACATGGTCTGCAAAGAAAAAGGGAGAAGCAAATCTTTAAATATCTAAAGAGTATTCAGACTCAGGAACTAAAGCTAGAATAAATCATGAGTCTCTATATGTGTCAGATTCATTAAAAACATTCTAGAGGTTAAGTGTTAGGAGTATGCCATACACCACCAGATGCAGATGTTGTTTATAATTAAACACTGCATAAATATTAAGAATGTACAACAAAATGTAATAAGAGACCTCAACTTTCCCCACATAAACTGGGAAACTCCTACAAG